CCGGGGGCTCGGCCTTTAGCCGCTCTCGCAGGACTCCACCTCACAGCCCCGTCTCCCTCTACTTGAGCCTGGGTCCCCAGGGATTGGCACAGAACTGGGGTTCAGAGCAGTCCGGACTGAGGCTCGGTGCTGCTGGAGGCCCTGTTCCTTCCGGCTAGGGTAATCCAGCATCAGAGTCAACATTCAGTCCTCTGCACACAATGTGCGCGAGACTCCGGGGGCCCTGCTTTTCGCTGCTCACCTGGGATTCCGCCTCACAGCCCCCTCTCCCCTTGCTGGAGCCTGGGTCCCCAGGGTCTGGCCCATAACTTGGGGCTCAGCACTGCCGGTTTGGGGGTTCAGCCCAGGCTGGGGGTTCTATTTCCTTCCTGCTAGGGAACGCCGGGCAGCACCCAGCCCTCTCCTCCTCTCCGGCTGCGACCTCTCCGCGCGCGCGTGCGAGCGCGCAGCATGTCTCCGTACCTTAGGCTTTTTTTCAGCTCCTCTGATTTTCCTTCTGGTTTTCTCTTTCCTTCTTGTTGTAGAATTTTCAGTCAGTCGACTACCTGTGGCTCTGGGCGATGTCCACTCTACATTTTAGTTGTATTCCATTGAAATTGTTGTGTGCTGCTGCGGTTAGGTGTCTACCCGAGCAGCCATCTTGGATTCCTCTAGGAGATAGGCATTAAACTAATTAATTAATTTCTTTATTTTTTAATAATTAAAAAAATCTTTTTTGAGAATTAGTTTGTTGTTCCACTTATTTACACTTTCAGTGGTTGCCTTTTTTGTTTTGTTCACCCTCTTTTCAATTGATTTTTAAAGAGAGTGGGAGGAGGATAAATAAGAGAGAGAAACATTAATGTGAGAGAGATACATGGATGTGTTGCCTCCCACACCCCAACCAGGGAGAGGATCCGGGATCAAACCTACAACCCAGGTATTGCCCTTGACTGAAGTCCAACCAGGGACCGTTCAGTCTGCGGGCTAATGCTCTAACCACTGAGCAAAACCGGCCAGGTAGCGGTTAGTTTCTTGTTTGTGGCACGATTTAAGATCAAACGCACACCTTTGGTGTATCCGGAAGACTCCCTAACCAACTGCGCTACCTGGAAAAGACTTAATTTAAATTGTACTAATGTTTAGGCAGAAATGAACAGTGCAATCATAGAAATCAAGGAATTCTAATTTAGATTGTAACCGTGGAAAACTTTCTTAGATGCAGTACAGCATGGGGTCAATGCATTCCAGAGTCTATCAGTCCAGTTTGAAGACTTCCTAGGTGTGTGATCTTGGGCAACATGCTCCTTTGTGCTTCCTTTTCTTCTTCTATACAATGAGGATCATAATAGTAACAACCTATTTGCTTATTGTGAGCATTAAATAAGTCAATATATATATATATATATATATATATATATATATATATATTTATATATATATATACACACACACACACACACACACACACACACACACCGTATTTTCCGGCGTATAAGACGACCCCCTCATTTTTACAGTTAAAACATAGGTTTAGGCCTATATTCGCTGTGTAAGACTACCCCCCACTTCAAAGAAAAGACTTACTTTGCCGTCAAGATCTGCAGGTAATTTTTGTGCAATTTTGGTCTTTTGCCCCTGATTTTCGGTTGACTTTTTTTCGTTTCAAAAGTCGTCTTATACGCCAGAAAATACGGGGTGTGTGTGTGTGTGTGTGTGTGTGTATAGTGCTTCGAACTCTGACCATCACACAATAAGTACTATTCAAAGAAAATTATATTGAAATGTTCTAATATTGCTTTCAGAGAGGAAAGGAGTGATGTAAACATCAATGATAAGAGAGAATCACTGATCGGCTGCCTCCTGCACACCCCCTACTAGCAGCCCCTCACTGAGGATTGAGCCCCCAACTTGGGCATGTACCCTGACTGGGAATTGAACCGTTTGTAGGGTAAGGTGACCAGATTTTAACATTGGTAAAACGGGACACCATTGACCGGGAGGGGGAGGGGAAAGAGAGGGTTCTTCATTAAAAATTTGGTCTATATGGAGCAACAAAAATTTTCATAGAAAGCAAAAATAGTATTATATTTTTTTAAAATTTCAACATAAGTACAATTTACAAATATAATAATTTTTTTTAAATTATGTATAGTTGTAAATGTCACTTTCAAGGCTGGCGCTGGACTTTTTGCCATCACTATAAAATATAAGTAATACGAGTACTGTCTGCTAAACTCAAGAAAATTTATGTATTTATGAAATAAATAAATACATTACTTACTTAAATTATCTAAATAGCTGATTTGTAATGACATTACTTGTTTAACTAGTTTACCAGCATGCAGTATGATGTGTATCATCTGAAAGACAGTTACAAAACGTTTTCATCATTGCCAATCCCCAAAAATGCCATTGTTCATTAAATCCAAACAATGGTGGTCGAATTCTAACAACTGATCAACAATTCGAACTTTGATAAGCAGTTCTCAATAATCAGTTCTCAACAATTATTTGTTACTATTAAAGTTTAACATTATAAAATTAACAAAAATAATATAAAACTCATATCCTGGCTAAATAGCTACATGGCCGCCGAAAATCGTATATTCCCTTCCCATTCTCACGCCATTCCTTGTTGTGCATTTTTTCCAAAAATCAGAACTTTTTTAAAACGCCGCGGGATGCAGGACAAATAGTTAAAAATCGGGACTGTCCCGCCAAAAGCGGGACGTCTGTCACCTTACCCTACTGGGTATTGAGCCCACAACCCAGGCATATGCCCTTGACTGGAATCAAACTCTGGACCCTTCAGTCCATAGGCCAACACTCTATCCACTTAGCAAAACCAGTTAGAGTGATTTTTTTTTTCATTTTAAAATATACTTTTTATTGTTGATAGTATTACAGGTATCTATCATTTCTCCTCTCTTTCCCCCCTCCTCCCAGCTTCTACTTACCCTCCTGGTGTGGGGGTAATCATTATCCTATTAAATATAAACATAAACTTAATCCAATTTTTAAATTCTCAATTGGATTTGTTTTAAAGAGATTCAACAACAGGCCAGTGTAAAAGTAAAATAAAGAGGTGATGGTATCAAAAGGATGAGGAGTCAGCTTAAAGGGTTGGTCAAAGGTAGGTAGTTTGAGCATAAAAAAAAAAGTGACTCTATTTCCAGCAAGTTATATTATTCTCTAAGCATATTTTTATTGAGTAAATAAATGACTGACTGAATGAATGAAGGGAGGGAGGAACATTAGGAGTGGGTCTGGGTGGAGCAAGGGTCTGATTGCATAAAGTTTTACATTTAAATGCATGGCATTTCACTACAAGAAGACACTAAAGGAACTGCATTTTCAGAGAGAGACCTCCAGCAGGCTTGAAAATGGGCACTCCGAAGGGACTCACTGGTAAGCAGGGCTGCTGGGATAGTGGTGCAGACTGAGGGGTTTAAGTGGTCAAAAAGGATTCAAAAGCTTAAAGGAGAGAGATTAAAGGGTTAGGGTTAGGGTTAGAAGATAATGTTAGGGATAGGGTTAGGGTTAGGAGACAGAGTTAGGATAAGAGGAGTTAGGGTTAGGGTTAGGAGATAGAGTTAGGGTAAGAGGAGTTAGGGTTAAGGTTAAGAGATAGAGTTAGGGTAAGGGATAAGAGTTAGGATTAGGAGTTAGGGTTAGGAATTTGGATTTTCTGGCAAACTGAAACTCAAGGGAGCCAGTTACCAGAGCGAACAGACTGGGTACCAAGAAAAATGAAATGGGCCGAAACCGGTTTGGCTCAGTGGATAGAGCGCCGGCCTGTGGACTTAAATCAGGTCCCAGGTTCGATTCTGGTCAAGGGCATGCACCTTGGTTGTGGGCATATCCCCAGTACAGGGTGTGCAAGAAGCAGCTGGTCGATGTTTTTCTCTCATTGATGTTTCTAATTCTCTATCCCTCTCTCTTCCTCTCTCTAAATATATATATATATTTAAATGAAGAGGTAACATTTCCTAGCAGAGACTGACTAAATCTCAGAACAGGGCGGAGAGCACTATGACATGGGGCTCTACCTCCTAGAGACAAGGCCTGGGATCTCAGTGGCTTGGATTCTAAGCCTGGCTGGAGGGAAGTCATGGGAGATTCATGGCTGTGGTTTCAGGAAGGTTTTGAGAAAAGGAGGTAGTGTCAGTGTAACCACTCCCTCTCCATCTCTGCTCTACGGAAACATGGAAGAAGTGCTGAAAACATACCTCATTCAGGTGCATGTAGCATGAGCAGTTGGAGGTTCAATTTAACTGCAACAGGTTTCCAGATGAAAGTCTCCAGAAGGAACTTGCCTTGGAACTATACCCACCGGAGTCAACAATAAAGGTCTGTGTGATCCCCTAAGATCTATTTGGTACCTCCATCCAAACCACATTCTATTCAGCCTAGAAATCCCCTCCATAGCACAATAATAATATCGCATTTATTGAGTACCTACCTAGTACTGAACTGTACTATAGAGCTCAAATAGAGAAAGGGCTCTCATATTCCTCACTTAGAGGCTTCCCAAGCAAAACTCTGCAATCTGTTTGTTCACAAAACTATCAACAAGTAAATAACTGCTCCCAACTTCTGAGTTTGCTATGCCCTCCCTCCCCCAATTTTCAGAGTATTGTTTTCTGTAGAGGCCTTCTAAATAATCCTTAAAAGTCCTTTAGTTCAAATCCCCTACATCCTCCTAGATCCCTCAACCAGCTTCTCTTCTCTAGACTTCAGGACCCTTTCTTTGAAGCCCCAACACCACCTCTGAACATACCCACCTTTCTTTCCCTTTTCCTTCTCTGGGGTCCCAGCCCTGATCCCTCACTGTTCCCCTTACTGGCCCCACTCATGTCCATATCTGCTCTCTCAGAAGTCAGTGTCATGGTGACTTGGAGAAGATGTGAGGGTTATAAGCTGGCCTTTCTCACCCTTGAGAATTTTCAAGCTCCTCCATTAACAGACTGAAATTTCTTCTGTTCCCCAACTTTCAGACTTGGTTCAGAAACCAATGAGTCAAATCAAGGAAGCAGCAACAGCAGAAGCAGCTATCACTAAAGCAACCAAGTCAGATTCTTCTAGCCAAGAATGTGCCCACCGCACCCACAACAGCAACCAGTCCTTATTATTTTCCCCCTGTAGTCTCTGATTCCCATAGCTCTCTTCCACCTCAGCCCATAGACCCTTCCAATTTGGCATGGGACCCTGTCATCACCGAGAGTCCCACAAGTGATGTCCAAATGCAAGACCCTCAGCTGGAGAGGCTGGAGCCCTCAGTTCCTGCTTTGTTCCCTGATACCTATTCCATAGAGCAAATCCTGGAACTGTACAGCTTTCCTGATGATATCAGTATCTCACCCACAGGCCCCAGCTAGAAGAAAAGGGTTTTTAGCATCTTTGCTAATGCAGCTTTAGGTCTGCTGTTTGGGCAAACCTCATCCAGTATGACAAGCTGAGGCCATTCAGCCTGCAGTCTCAAAAACAGCCTGGAATTCCAGAATCCCTCCAGGATAGTGAACTTTGGATTTCTCTGACCAAAGTACTAATAAATACCAGATTGTACAGAAAAATGATCTTCTTATATCTTTGTACATGCTTCTCTTCTTTCCTTTGCTTGCTTCTTTACCCAGATATCTGGGTCTATATCATTGATTTCCGTAGAAATGTAAAAATGAATTTTTTTCTGACATTTTGCTGCCTATGGTGGTCTAGTTTCTTTCTTTCTTTCTTTCTTTCTTTCTTTCTTTCTTTCTTTCTTTCTTTCTTTTCTTTTCTTTTTCTTTTTCTTTCTTTCTTTTTTTTTTTTTTTTGCAGGTATCTGTCCAATTTCCCCAACAACATTCATTGAAGAGACTGTCTTGTCTCCATTGTATACTCTTGCCTTCTTTGTCAAATATTAATTGAGCATAATTGCTTGGGTTTGTTTCTTGGTTCTGTTCTGTTCCATTGGTCTATACCTCTGTTCTTGTGCCAGTTCTAGGCCATTTTGAGAACAATGGCTTGGTAATATAGCTTGATATCTGCTATTGTGATCCCTCCAACTTTGTTCTTCTTTCTCAGGATTGCTGTGTCTATGCGAGGTTGTTGTTGTTGTTTTTTTATTCCATATTTTTTGAGAATTTGTTCTAGGTCTGTGAAATATGCCATTGGTATTTTAATGGAGATTACATTGAATATATTGATTGCTTTGGGTATTATGGACATTTTAATGATGTTGATTCTACCAATCCATGAACATAGTATATTCTCCCACTTGTTTATATCTTCCTTTATCTATTTTTTTTCAATGTCCTATAGTTTTCTGAGTACAGGTCTTTTACCTCCTTAGTTAAGTTTATTCATAGGTATCTTAATTTTTTTGTTGCAATAGTAAATGGGATTGTTCTTTTAGTTTCTCTTTCTGTGAGTTCATTATCAGTGTATAAAAATGCTGCAGATATCTGGGTGTTAATTTTGTATCCTGCTACGTTGCCGAATTTATTTATTAAATCTAATAGTTTTTTTATGGAGTCTTTAGGGTTTTTTATGAATAATGACAGTTTTACTTATTTTCCAATTTGGATACCTTTTGTTTCTTCTTCTTGGCTAGCACTTCCAATACTACATGCTTCATAGCAATATGCTTACTGACATATCTCCTAGGACAATAGAAACTAAGGAGAAAATAAAAAGCTCCTGCACAGAAAAAGGATTATCAACAAAATAATAAGAAAGCCCACTTCATGGAAGAACTTATTTGCCAATATGACATCTAATAGGGGTTTTTATCTCTAAATTTTATAGGGAACTCATACAACTTAACAAAAGGAAGATAATCCAATAAAAAAAAAATAGACAAAGGACCTACATAGACACTTCTCAAAAGTGGACATCAGAAAGCCAAGAGACATATGAAACCATGCTCAAAGTCACTAATCATCCGAGATATGCAAATCAAAACCACAATGCGGTACCATCTTACATCTGTTAGAATGGCTATCATCAACAAATGCTGTGGAGAAAAATTTGCTGGTGGGAATGCAGACTGGTGAAGCCACTGTGGAAAACAGTGTGGACTTTCCTCAAAAAATTAAAAATGGTAACTCCCATTTGACCCAGTGATCCTATTTCTAGGAATGTATCCCAACAAAACAGAAAGACAAATCAGGAAGGATATATGCACCCCTATGTTCATAGCAGCACAATTTACAATAACTAAGATTTGGAAACAGCCTAAGTGCCCACCAGCAGATGAGTGGATTACAAAACAGTAGCACATCTATACAATGGTATACTATGTTGTTGTAAAAAAATAAACAACTCTTACCATCAGCAACAGCATGGATAGACCTGGAGATCGTTATGCTAAGTGAAATAAGCCAGTCAGGAAAGATAAATATCTCATGACCTCATTTCTTTGTGGAATATAATTAACAACATAAACTGATGAACAAAATCATAGAACAAAATCAGAGTCATAGAAACATCAAAGAGACCATCAAATCTCAGAGGGAAGGTAAGAGAAGGTAGGGGAAGGTAGGAGAGGATGGGTAAGAAATCAACCAAAGGACTGTATGCATGCATATAAACATAACCAATGGACACAGAGAGTAGGGGGTGAAGGCATGTGCAGGGGGATGGGAGCAGCCGGGTGGACAATGGGGGGGGGGGGGGGGGGGATGAAACATATATAATAATTTCAACAGTAAATAATTTAAATTTTTTAAAAATGAGTTTTTTCACTCTTATCAGCAAGACTCAGTTGGTTGAGTGTTGTTTTATGCCACCAGGAGGTCACTGGTTTGATTCCTAGCCCTGCTTGTGGTTATATCCCTGGGAAGTTGGGGGGTGCAGGAGGCAGCCAGTCGATGTTCCACTTTTACATTGATATTTCTCTCTCCCTCTTCCTTCCTTCTGCTCTAGGTATCAATAGAAATATATATTTTTTAAAAAACTAGTTTTTCCAAGTACAGTATAGCTCACTACTACAACTATCAATTCCGCAACTCTGCCTGGAAAGAGGCCTTCTTAGTTCCTTATATGGCCAATTAGACCCTAAACACCTTCTTCCAAAAACTATCTTGGGCCAAAACCAGTTTAGCTCAATGGAAAGAGCCTCAGTCTGTGGACTGAAGGGTCCCAGGTTCAATTCCGGTCAAGGGTATGTACAATACATTGGTTGCGGTCACATCCCTGGTAGGGAATGTGCAGGAGGCAGCTGGTCAATGTTTTTCTCTCATCGATGTTTCTAGCTCTCTATTCCTCTCTCTTCCTCTCTGTAAAAAATCAATAAAATATAATAAATAAATAAATTAATAAATGTCAATGAAAACTGTCTTCAGGTGAGGATTGAACACATTTAAAAAAAACTATTTTGGACTTTTAAATGAGAGTCAGCAGCAAATAAATAAACAAACAAATAAATAGAATCAGCAGCCTTTTTATGGGAGCAGGTTATAAACTCATATTTTATTTCCAATCTTTATGTGTGGTATTTTCTAATTTAAAGGGTAGTTTTAGCCAAAATTTAAGGTCAAATAGCTATCATCATTAGTTTTAATTAAGTATGAGTCCATATGTAGTAATAACTGTAAAAACTGGCATAGGAAGAGCTAAAACAGATTTTAAAAAATATATATATATTTTATTGATTTTGTACAGAGAGGAAGGGAGAGAGATAGAGAGCTAGAAACATCGATGAGAGAGAGTCATCGACCAGCTGCCTCTTGCACACCCCCCACTGGGGATATGCCCGCAACCAAGGCACATGCCCTTCACCGGAATCGAACCCGGAACCTTTCAGTCCCCAAGCCGCTTCATCCATTGAGCCAAACCGGTCTCGGCTAAAACAGATTTTTGAAGATGAGATTATCACCTATGAACACTGAAAATCAGTAGTCAAACGTTTAGACTAACATCTAAACAAATTTCCAGCTACATGATCAACCTATAAAATTAATAGCATTTCTCCTCAAAACCAGTCATTAAAAAACATAATAAAATAAGTATCTCTCCATTAAAAATACGAAGCATCTAGGATTAAAAAGTAAGACCTCTGTGGAGAAAACTTCAAAACTTGAATAAAGGATATAGGAATGTTTTAAATAAAAGCATTTGAGGTTATACAATAGTAAATTTAAAAGGACTGAAATTATATATAGCTTAGCTGGTGTGACTCAGTGGATGAGCATTGACCTATGAACCCAGGAGGTCATGATTCAATTCCCAATCAGGGCACATGCCCTGTTTTTGGGCTCAAACCCCAGTGTGCAGTGTGCAGGAGGCAGCCAAACAATAATTCTCTATCTTCATTGATGTTTCTATCTCCCTCTCCCTTCCTCTTTTTTTTTTTTAAATCAATCTTTATTGTTCATATTATTACAAAGGTTCCTCATTTCTTCCCCCCTCCACCAGGTTCCCACCCCACCCTCCACCCCCTCCCCACCCCCCATTGTCCTCATCTATAGGTGCACAGTTTATGTTCAGTCTCTTCCTCCCTCCCTTTCCCCGAGAATAGTCAGTCCACTCCCCTCCCATATCGCAGACTCTACTTCAATGAACAGCTATTATTGTTCATCAGGTTTTTCAATCTCCTTTTTTTGTTGTTGTTGTTTTGTTTTGTTTTGTTTTTGTTGTTTTTTTTAATTAATAAACTTTTACTCTTCTAAGAATAAATTTTAAAATCTAATAATTTTAAACCTTGTTTGGAATTGGATTACCTGTTCTGGGTGGGAAGGGCTTGTCATTCCCTTTCTCCATTAAAATTAAGATGTTAGCTTTAAAACCTCTTTTTGGCAAGAGACCTTAAACTTTCAGAACTTTAAATTTTTCAGATAGTAAATCAGTTACTTAGCATTTTCTCAAATAAATAATACCTCCACATGCCCAAGGATACACTTCACACAAAAGACATTTCCAAATAGATCAACCAACCTCATCCAGACCCCACACAAGGCACTTACAGATCAACACCCCAGCACTATACTAACTCAACACATCCAGATCTAAGCCTTCCTCACTTGATTCAGCAGACCCTCAAGTTCCCCCAAAAGTTTCCAGCCATGTCTGAGAGGCAGCCTTGGGGCGGGGGCAGGCGAGGAGTGAGCTGTTCTGGGCCTGGCTGCTCCGGGCCTGGCCGCACCCGACCCGGCTGCTTTGGGCCCAGTTGCTTCGGGCCTGGCAGCTCCTGACCTGGCTGCTCCGGGCTTGGCTGCTGCTGCTCCGGGCCTGGCCGCACCTGATCCAGCTGCTCTGGGCCCGGCTTCTCCGGGCCCAGCCGCTCTGGGCCTGGCCGCTCCCATCCTGACAGCTGCTGCTCTGGGCCTGGCTGCTCTCAACCCGGGTGCTCCAGGCCTGATCGCTCCCAACCTGGCTGCTCCAGCCTTGGTTGTTGCTGCTCTGGGCCTGGCAGCTTCTAACCTGGCTGCTCCGGGCTTGGCTGCTGCTGCTCCAGGCCTGACTGCTCCCAACCCAGCTGCTCCTGGCCTGGCCGCTCCTGACCTGGCTGGTCTGGGCTTGGTTGGTGCTGCTCCAGGCCTGACTGCTCCCAACCCAG